GAACCAAGAGAAGACAAACAACCACAAGCAATATGATAGTAAGGCAGCAAGTAATTCAACCAAACAAATATAACAAGGCAATAATAAACCAATCACACAAGACACCAAGATTTACGTGGAAAACCCTTCGATGTGAAGAGTAAAAAACCACTGGACCAAAAGATCCACTATAATAACCAAGAGTTACAATATTTTTCTCCAACATTGGCCACAAAAACAAGTGCCAAACAACGAGAAACAACAAAATAAGATTGCACCAAATCTAGAGAATTAAAGGAGCAAAATCACCAATTTCGCAGCTACTGTTCACGACAGCAAAACTGAAGCTGCAGACCACCAAATCCAACTCTGTCAGTTCCTAATCAAAGATTGAGATGAATATAATATGCTGTCCAAAAATCAGCTCAATCGGACAAGATACGAAGCGGAAATCACAATTTGAAGTTGGTTGTTAGTGCTGAATTTTGACAGCGAAAACTGCTCTCTTTCTCTCTTTTTGGCTGCTTAAAAAAAGTCTCTGTGTATATGAAAATAAGACCTAAATAGGCTTATATTTGCCTCATAAGAATGGGCCTATGGGCAAAAATGGGTTGGTCCAAATTAGACTTTTATTTATCCACATAGGAAGGGAAAAAGGCTCATAACCCAACACATGCAAGTATGATTATATAAAGTTTATCATCTTTATAATGAGGAGTTGAGATATTAAAATGTAAGTTACCATCCCCAATAGGGGCGGATCCACATGAGGTCTAGGGGGTTCATCCGAACTCTCTCGATAAAAAATACACGATATACATAAAGTAAATTTTTTGTATTTATGTATATATATATTTTTCAAATTAATTTTTTTTGTATATATAAATGGTAGGTGGCCTTTTAGAGCAGTATCCATGGTTCTAATACATAACACTAATTGATAGGGAAAGGTTTTATTATGAAAGAGGTGCAGACATCTTGGTTCTTATCAAGTAAAACATTAAACCAACATGACATATAGGTCTTGACAAATGTATAAATTCAGGAGGTGCAGCTACTATAAAATCTAACATATGGTAGACATGGAAAATGTTAATCGGATTAAAAAATAATAACAATAATAGAGTTTTGAAACGGAGACAAAACTATTCTTAATTCCTTTCAGTCATGATAACTCAACGAGATTTAATTTTTGTCTACTTAAAATAAAACAAATGTATATATGGGGTCTAACTTTTGTTCCGGGCCGTAAATTTATGAACATCGTATTACTATTCCTAAGTTGCTTAAATGGGTACTTCTTCGGAAGGTTTTCATAATTTGCACACTTTTACAAGGATCCCAATAGTCTTGCCTTACATCCGACGTATTATACACAATCAAAATTGCAATTTTTTTGATGTTGTATTTATTGTTGTATTTATATTTACTACTTTATTTTGTGTTACTTGAGCATGCTTATTTTTCGAAAAATGCTTATTTTTCTAATAAGCTGAAAGAAAGTAATTATTCATTAAAAGAACTTTTCTAAAAAATAGTACTTAAAAAGTTTGATTAAACACTATTTACTAATCAAAAGTGTTTTTTAAATTTATTGGTAAAACAGTAATTATTTTTCACAAAAGTACTCTTTTGAAAAACATTTTTCAAATAAAATTTACTTTAATGAGCAATTTTTACTTAATCTAGAAACAAAAGAATCAACACCAAAATATATATTTCCAATACCAAAGTTTCAATAGAACTTGAACTTAAAGTTAATTAGATACATAAAATCATCTAAAACAAAGTTCACAAGAAGAACTGTAAAAGAGAAGTTTCTCAATAACTATTCCACAAAGACTACTGCCCTTAGTATCTATAACTGTTGTATCCTCCTCCTAAACTAGACGATCCATACCCCTCGAAATTCTGAGGTGGAAAAGATGATCCATACCCCTCAAAACTCTAAGGTGGAAACGAAGATGATGAAGAATAGGGGTCACCATAACGCGAAAAAGAACCAAACTCAGGTTCACCCATCCCATACATTGTTGGGGCTGGCTCTTGGTGGTTGTCAATGAACTCCTGCACAAATACAAGTGAATAAACAAGCATAAGCTAGCTGAATCATGCTTCTTATGAAACGTGTAACGAGATTTTCACATATTTTGTAATATAAGGAAAAAGGACCCAGAGGGAAGAATATAATCTGGTAGAGTACAGAGACATAAGTGACTAACAATACCAGCTAATTAAGGGACATGATCTCCTTATATATATTGACTTTTTTGAAACTATAAATTACTTGTGGCGAAGAAAAAAAGTGAGGTGCAGGGCGATGGTCTCCGTACATGAATAAGTTGTTCAGCTGCTTTAACCTCTGATGAGGTACCCTTAATCTAAATAGTGATTTCTTCAGGTATTCGGCTCCCTTGCACAGTAAGAGTTGCCCCACTTGTGCGGCGAATATATGCTATATTACAGCCTTCAGCACCAATGATTTCCTCAGCATACCCCAGCGGGACTTGCATAACCTTTGTGATCTGAGATAGATACATTTAGCTAATGTTCATATTGTTAGGGAAACGGTTAAGCAGAAACAAAGAGCTTCTACAGATTCAAGAGCTTCTATAGATTCAAGTTCAAGAGCGAAGTGCTACTATAATACACATTTAACACAGAAAGCGCAAATGAACGAAAAAGTTAAATGATTACGATGAAATGTAACTCATGTCAATTAAGTTCAAAAGAAAATTTTCTATTACTAAATTTATCATTCATAGTCACAAGCATGAAATTGTGATAATAATTATATCCATGAAACCTGACAATTTTCTATTACTAAATTTATCATTCTTCGGTAATATCCTTATTTCTGTTTTCTACTGAGCCAGTCATCTACCGGACTTTTCTCATAATGGATATATTAAATTAGATAAGGACAACTAGGCCACACATGTTCAAAAAAAAAAAGCAACCCCACAAAACCACAACAGGAAATGAAATTAAAAAGGCGAGATCACAGAGTGATCTTTGCTCAAACTCTAAATCATGGCAACATTTTTGCACGATATAAATATTGATTTTCCGCAACAAAATCAAACTACAATGAAGCCATAAAATCCACGATACTGGTAGAAAATGGAGACATAGAGTATCCATAACTAACCTTTGTTACAATATCCTGTCCATATCGCGGTAGTGTAGACCGTGGGGTTTTGGAGTCCACGGCAGTTCCATGATCAAGTAAGTAAGGGTCTTGGTAATCAGAAACAGCTGCAGATGCAGGACGAGAAGGCTGATATTGTGGTTTATCAGCCCAGGTAGTTAGTAAGCGCGCGCGCACACACGCGCGCGCGCGCACGTACGCACGCACGCGCACACACACAAAAAAAAAATTAAAATTCAGTTAAAAGTATCAAAATTACCATTTTCTCAAAAATCGGTATAAATTACCATTTTCTCAAAAATCGGTATCATATTATGATGGACCAGGAACTTCCTCAGTAGTTAAACAACTTCATCAAAAGCATTGAGAACCTTCGGACCTTCTCCATGTATTTCAATAATCCTATCATCTTTAGTGGCACAAAGGGCCACATTATCTGTGAAATTCAGAAATTATTACATATGAGATGATTGTGTCAGGCCATATTAGTAAAAAACTTAAAGATCTCACCTGTAGGTAATACTCTTAGCACAACACCTGATCTTTATTGTATTGAATTGATCGTGGAACCTTTTTTACCGATCAAGTGAATGGCTTGTGCTGAAGCCACTAAGTGAATGGCTTTGAAGACACAAATGCAGCTACTGCTCCTGGATCATCATTGTTTAGCCCCGCAACACACTTAAAAATTCTAATAGCAGCATCCATTGCTAGAGATACCTCAACATCTGGATTTTCTCTACCAGTTATTAAAACCTGAAAAACGATGAAGCAAATATAAAATACTTGGATCGAATCAACTCACACAAGTTTTTGATGAATTTTACTGTTTCATCACAACAATTGATGTTTTTACACACATCAAAATCATCTAAATTCAAACAAAAATCCCAAAAAAGAAAAAAAACTAAAGAATTATCAAAAATTATTCGATCAAAAACTTACGATTTGATCAGCATTGCCAATAGAACTTTCCAGAACACGAACAGTGGCACCAGTCTCTTTACACATCCTCTTTACAACTTCTCCCCTCCGCCCAATTATACCACCAACTTTAGCAATTGGCACAACTAGCTTGAAAATGTTATCCCCGGGCCATCCCGGCCATTTCTGAACTGATTCCCCTGTAGCAACATAATCGGATTTTACAGCAAGCGATTTCGGCGGAGGCGGCGGAACTGACGATGAAGCACGAATTGCCGGTGCAAATAATGAGCTAGTAACAGTCGAGTAAACCATTGTTGAGTTGAGAGAAAAAAAAACAGAGTGAAAAGTGTTTTTCAATGAAAAAGGTTTGGTCGTAAGTGAAAAATGAAAAGAGGTATCTGCCTTTAATATAAATAGCTTGGCGTTACTTTCTAGAAAAAATATTATATTTTGTATAAATAATTAGGATCTCTTTACAAAATTATAATATGAAATCATAATATAAAATATTTATTATTAAGTAATTATAAGCATAAGTTTAATATAAGAACAATAAGAAAATATAAATTATCAAAACAAAAAAAGGAGTTTTTTTGCTAATAAAGTGATTTTGTGCTCGTTATTATAACTGATATAACAATTATTTGAAATTTATTGATTTTTTAAGAAAAAATTCCATGTTGTTTAATTAACCGAATAAAAATGTCGAATACGTTAAAAAATAATAATTTCATGCGTAAATAAATAGTCGTGAGCTCTGGAATCTGAAGTTAGAAGGTTCACTACGACTACAACGGATAATTCGTTAAAATTGAGCAAGATGTAAGAATTATTAATGGATGTCTGTCAAACGACTTTAATTCAGTTTGATTAATTTTTTGGTAAGTCAATGTTGAGGGACTTACCGTTATTATTGTTAAAAAAATCGTTGGGTTGATGAACGACTTAAAATTATTGCTATTTTGAAAAACCATTGTATTTTTGAAAAATCGTTTATATAGCCATTACTAAATTTTGCCGCTCAAAATTTATCCATTATGATATTAAAATAATAAGAAAAATTAATTGTTTATCACAAAAAAGTGTACAAATAAAAGTAATTATGTCCTTCTAATAACTGAAGTGACGATTAGATGAAGTTTATCAAGTTCTTTTAAAAACATTTCCATATTGTTTATTAGCTAAATAAAACTATCGAATACATTAATAATTAATAACTTGCGTGTACATAAATAGTCGTGAATTATAAAATATGAAGTTAGAAGTTTCACTTATCTTATCTTAAATGGATAAAGGGATACTTATTTTTTATACGACGAATCGGATAATTCAATAGAGTTGAGCGACCTATCCTATTATTCACAGCTCTCAAACGACCGTTCATTCGTTTTAAGTCAGCATTGAGGGACTTACCATTATTATTTTCAAAAATCCGTTAGATTGATGAACAACTTAACATTATTGCTATTTTGAAAAACCGTTGGATTTTGAAAAATCGTTTATATAGTCTTTACTAATTTTGACAAGTTGCTCAAAGTTAATCAAAATGATAAAGGAAAATCAATTGCATATAAAAAAAGTATATTAATAAAAGTAATTATGTCCTTCTAATAACTGAAATAACGGTTAGATGAAGTTTATCGAGTTCTTTTAAAAACATGTCCATATTGTTTATCAACTGAACAAAAATATGAAATACGTTAAAAATTAATAACTTCGCGCGTAAAAAGTTAGTTGTGAGTTGTGATATCTGAAGTTAAAAGGTTCACTTATCTTATCTGAAATGAATAATTATTTTTTGTATAAATAAAAAGGGTAATTCGTTAAAGTTGAACGACATGTCCAAATTATTACCGGATATCTGTCAAACGGCCGTTAATTCAATTTAATTAATATTTTTTTGGTAAGTCAGCGTTGAGGGACTTAGCGTTATTATTCTTAAAAATTTCTTATCCCCAGACTATCCCAGCCATTTTTGCACAACCGCAATTGATTCCCCAGTACCAAAAGAACCGGATTTATCGCCGGTGCAAATGATGAGCTAGTAACAATAGAGTACACCATTATTGAGTTGAGAGAAAAAACAGAGTGAGAAGATTTTTTCAGTGAGTTTTGCTGAAAGGATTTTGGTTGTATGCGAAAAATGGAAAGAGGTGTCTTAATATAACGTCTTGAGCGTTACTTTCTAAAAAAAAACTTTCATTATGTAATTTTCCAATTTTGCATAAATAATTAGGATTCATTTATGAAATTATAATATGAAAATCATAATATACTACATATATTATTAAGTGATGAAAAACATATAAAAATAATAATAACAATAAAATTATCAAAACAAACAAAAGGAGTTTTTTTACTAATAAAAGTAATTCTGTGCTAGTTATAATAATAGGAGGATACTTGTGCATTTTCACCATTATTAATTGTATAACATAGAACAATAATTCTTCAAAGTTTAAGGGGGGAAATGAACATGTCAATGAAACAATGGTATTCAGTTTGATATCAAAGTCAACTTTGCAATAATTTCTTCAATAAAATTATGTAATATTACTTAAAGAAATTCAAAATTTTGAATAAAAGAACTAAAATGAAGAAAAATTAAAAGAAAGAAATTTCAGAAAGTACTAAAATTTATCTCGATTTTTCTTCCTAATTTTATTATTCGACATGTTTTATATATTAAATCTTGAATATCGTCAGGTCATAAAGCAAAAAAATAATAATAATAATGCTTTCTCCTTTCTAGGCAGTTGTTGTGCAGCCCTCACAAAGTTTCTACGGCCAGTGGAAGACCAAAACCACCACATATTCCAAATACACTTAACCTATAAAGCACCAAAGTCATGATGAAGTTGAATGTCGTTTGATCTCGAAAGAAATCAAAATAATAAACAAATTGATGATATCATTGAAGCTACTTTAAAAGGTACTAGTGACACTGAAATTATCAAGGTGATGCGAGGAATATACTACATAATAAAAGAAGGGTGATAGATGTCGATCGAAGTAAACCTACTACTTTAGATCGACAATTGGTTATTGCCACTTCTAAGCAAAACCAGACTCAATGAATATTGATACAGGGGAAACACTAAGAATTGGGGTTTATGCATTGCGAATTGCTTCAGGACAAAACTAATTGATACAATTAATGTCGAAGATTTGAAAATTTTGGACACTATGTTTTGCAAGCTGAAATAAGAATGCAACTAACAACGGGACATTGATTGCATACAAAAATTCAATCCAGGGATTAAGACACTTATAAGATCTCTTTCTCCAGCTTTAGAGTCTCTTGGTGAATCTACACAACTAATAAAATTGATCGAGAAGAAAAATGATTTGATTCAAGAAGAGCATAAATAACAAATTAAACTAGAAGTACACATATTTGTGCCTAAATGTGTGATTGCAAAGAAGAATGAATCAAGGCCTTAGTGTCTCGATACAATTGATTTGGGCGAGGTTCTCTTGATTAAAAAAAGGAAGAGCTGGGCATATGTTTTGATAGAGTGGGTAGGGAAGATGATATAACACCTATATGCAGTAAAAAAAAGTGGAAGCAACAAAAGGAAAAAGAAGACACATGAAAGGCAACATAGTTGGGACGGTAAAGTGATTAAGGAGTTTGTTTCAAGGTATCTATCGATGCGACATGCAAAGAAAAACTGTATGACGGTATCAATAGGTTCAACAAGATCTAATAATTTGATAAAGAATGTATGAATTGTCAAGTGTTGTTAGATAAGTTTGAAGAAGATAAGAGAAAAAATATTTCAAGTTACTTTTGATGGACAATCAATCTTCTTTAATTCATACTTTCGTAACAGAAAGTTTGAGACTGATAATTCAACCTTCTTCTTGATTGCCATATTTTTACATTATTTATGCATCCTCATTTGTAATATCATCATGGAGTGTATTACAAACTCTATGGTGATTAGAAAATACTTAATTCTTTCTAACTTTTATTTTCTTCATGTTTGTTAGCTAGTAGAAATTAGATACTTCATTAGGATTAATAAGGTATGCGTTGCCCCATTGTCTATACTTATCCCTATTGATTTTTTTTTTAATTAAAGACGACTAAAAACTTTGTCTGGTGATGAATTTAGAGGGAAATAATAATTAAACCTTAGTCATATTTATTGTCGTTTTGTTGGACTCAAAAATTGAATGTCTGCATAAACATCATAATTTTAATTAAGAAATGACCAATTTATTTTTGAGGAACTAAAACGGGGTTAATTTCTCCAAATTAAACATGAATATCATCCTTTTTAAGGGGAGAAATTAAAAAAATAATTAGAAAAATAAAGTCAATACTAATTTTAGAAAGATAGCACACCATGGGCCTCATTCAATTATGTGAGAATTTATATTAGTTAAAAATAACTTAAATACACAACTATAATTTTTATATTCTCCAATTTTCCCTACTTTTTTAATATTACATAATTCCCTATTTTTTTATTTTAGTGTAAGTTTTTAGATACATTACACTCTCTCTCCTATAATACACATTTACCAATTTTAATGCCTATTTTTTCTCCATTAAAACACTCAACCTCTTAAATCAGTTTTTGAATTTTAAATTTTATCCATTTAAACACTCAACCTTTTAATCAGCTTTTTGATTTTGAATTATTAAATTTAATTAAATTTAAATAAAAGAACAAATTTTGAAATTTTGAATTTCAAAATTCAAAAAATTAGGAAGCAGGGTAACTTCCCATGCATTCTACCGTTTTGTTCTTACCAAAGTCAACTTTCACTTATTTTTTTCCTTAATCGTCTTCATTCGACTATTTCTTCATAATTTTGAATCTTCTCAACCCAGCATATTTTTTTATTTTCTTCTTTTTATTCTTAATCCATATTCGACTATTTCTTCCTAATCTTGAATCGTAAGAACCAGACCTTTTTTATAGTTAATCCATCATCAATTCGTATATTCTTCTCTTTTTTATTTTTGTTAATTACATCATAGTAATGGATCCGTCAATTAATAGAAGGATATATGATATTAGTAAAAATTTTAAGGAATTAAAATTGTCTCGGGTTAGTATTTTGGTACTTAAAACTGTTGTTAAAATTAGTAAAAATTTTAAGGAATCAAGTGTGCTTGCTGATACATTTGAATAAGTGTGTATAGTGTTTTAGATGGTGAATTGATACATGAATTTGTTGTGTATCATAATATTTTATATGTATCATGAAGTTTTGAAAATTGTTATAATGTATCATTCGATAAGTTTAGTAAATGCGTCATCAACTGTGCTTGATGATACATATAGAATCAGTGTGTACAGTGTTTAGTCAATGCACTGATACATGTAGTAGATATGTATCACATGTTTTGCGTGTAGTATGAATTTCTGAAAACTGATATCATGTATCAGTAAGGTATTAGTTGTTTAGTTGATGTACTGATACATGTTTTGAAAATTGTTATAATGTATTATTCACTAAGTTTAATAAATGTGTCATCCATTGTACTTGATGATACATATAGAATCAGTGTGTATATTATAGTCGATGTTTCTGATACATGTATTAGATATGAATCACATGTTATAATGTTTTAGTTGATTCACTGATACATGTACGTTGTCGTTTGTCAATGTATTTGCAGGATGAAGTAAAGACCAAATGAGTAACGCCAAGTGGGGAGATGACAATGATTTTTGTTTCCAAGATTCTTTTATTTTATGTTGTTAGGACTTAGGAATAGGAGAGATCCAATGACAAGAGGAGCATGAGTGAAAAATAATTATGTTTTTTTTGAGTTTTGTTACTTTTTGTTTTTAATTGCAGTAGCAGTTTCCCAGATTATGAAAAAAGTAATACAATACAACAAGAGCAGAAACTAATGAGTAAATATGCATTTATATATATTGTCCTCTTCTTATTGCTCTTTCAATTAGTTCAAACCTTTTCCTCAACTTATGGCTTACTATGACAAATACTTGTATTCTGAAGTAGACCAATACACATAAGAAAACAAAAATTGATGTGCGCCACCTACAAAGCAAAAAATTTACAGTAACATGAGGCTGCCTGCCTGCTGCTGGGTTGTCTAGGGTCGTACCTTAAAGAAAAAAAATTGAGATTTCGTAGAGCAAAATTAAATTTCGAATAATGTTTCACTGTCGAGTTGTACAACTGATTTTTTTTGGGACTAACCTTGCTTAAGAAGCTTGCAATTGAGGACCCACATCTGTGTTTCCACTGACGACTAAATTTCTTTCCGCCATGATTGTTCATAAAAAATGTTTTCAAAATAGATGATATAATTTTGATTTTCAAAATTTGAAATCAATATCCAATTACGTGCTGATTTTATGGTGATTAATGATCTGTTGCCTTAAAATTAAGCTATTTTAGTAACAACATTAATTGTACCATTTTTCCCCATTTTTTTCTCAACAGTTTAAACTTACCATGTATCATTTATCATGTATCACTAGAGTCTAAAGTATCACGGAACTACAAATTTAAGGGATTTTTTGTAAATACTAAATTTGTCGGGACAGAATGTAATTATTGAATTACACTATGAGATTCCTTAAATTTTACATATTATTACATAGAATAGAGTACAGATAAGAATACATTATTAATAATATGGGTGATTGAACATTTAAAGAAAAAAACAAGCTCTTTTTTACAATAATTAATTTTTATTAATGTTCACCCAATAACATAAATAATCATATATTATTCCATATAGGGAAAAGAGTCTGATATACCTCTCAACTTTGTCATTTGGAGTTGATATACCCCTCGTTACAAAAGTAGCTCATATATGCTCTTACCGTTACAAAATGGCTCACATATACCTCTGCCGTTACAAAATGGCTCACATAATTGAATGAGGCCCATGGTATATTACAAAATGGCTCACATATACCTCTGCCGTTACTAAATGGCTCACATAATGTTTTTTTAAGAAAAATAATTTAGGGGTATATATGATTCTTCTATCAAAGTTCAAGGTATATTTTAATTTTTTTCATACATAAATTATTTTTTGACTTTTTTTATTATAATTATTTGAGTTTCATATTCTTATTTTGTTTTTTTCTTTCATTCCTTAGTTTAAAGAAAAAAAAATTAAATATTTTTTTTGTGTGTATTGTAATTAATTTCGTATTTGAAGAAAAAATTTGGTTATCTATAATAAGTTCTACAAGGATAGTAGTGAAACATAAATAAATTTGATTATCAAAATAATAATTATAAATTAGTCATTGAAACAAAAAAAAGTTAAAAAAATGTTTGACGAGGATTAAATTTACTTATATGGAATTATATTTTTTAGAAAAAAATAATAAAAATTTAGATTAATTTTGTAAAAAAAAATTCCGTTAGAGGAAAAGGGTATATGTGAGTCATTTGTTTACAAGTAGGGGTATATATGAGTCACTTTCATAATAAGGGGTATATCAGCTCTTAATGACAAAGCTGAGTGATATATCAGACCCTTTTCCCTTCATATATAACCATTTTTAACTGAATACAGGAGGAACCCTTATTATCCTCTATAACCATTTCATATTGAATGTTGAAGTTCGATCTCACAAAGAGTACTTACTGAAATATTATTTTAATTTCTCTAATTTACTATCGTTTGAAAAATTAAATATTTTGTTCTAGCACGCCTGTTGATAGGCATGACGGAAATATGGATTAGTCGGACTCCAATGTGGGTATCAGATAAAAAGTTTCTCTACTTACTTTAATGAGAACTTTCACATATAGTCACTCAAATAGCCTAATTACTCTCCATAACTATAATTTGATAATTACAATTCGTAGCTACATGTTATAGGGAGGAGAGAGGCGAGCGAGCTTGGGAGAGAGAGGAGAGAGAAGAGAGAGAGGACAAAGAGTGAGAGAGATGTTAATTGGATATGTATACCGTTAGATAATTGTATGTTATACATATGTATTTGTACATATGGCAACAGAGATTGGCAGAGGGAGGAGAGAGGCGGGCGAATTTGGGAGAGGAAGGGGAGAGGCGAGAGAGAGAGGGTAGAAAGTGGAAGAGGTGTGAATTCTATATGTATATCGATTAGATAATTGTATATTATACATATGCATTTGTATATATAGCAAGAGAGATTGAGAGAGGGAGAAGAGAGGCAAGCAAGATTGAGAGAGGAAGGAGAGAGGAGCGAGAGAGGGAAGAGAGTGGGAGAGAGGTGAATCTTATGTGTATATCAACTAGATAATTGTATATTATACATATGTATTTGTATATTCTGATAAATTATACACATACAAACATAGCTAATTATACAAAATCAAAGTCAGCCCGCATAATTAATGTATAATGTTAGTCGTGAGTTATACTTATATTAAACTATAGCTATTATGAGTAATTAAGCAGTATAAATTTGCTTAATCACGTAAATAGCCCTACTTTAGTCCTTTAATTTAAAAGGTTTTTTTTTTGGGGGGGGGGGGGGGAGTGGGGGCATTGGTCCAAAACTCGTTCCTAAGCGTGCCACTTTAAAACTATCTTGAGACTCACATGTCAAACTTAGTTTTGTGAGGCTTATAACAAATGAACAATAAAAGTTCAATTCATCTTATACAAATATGAAGATCGAGAGTAACTCTAATAACGAGCCATAGTATTGAATAGTAATACAGAACAATACACACTGAGTAACAAGAAGGCAAAACAATTATACTTCTACGAAAAGGGAAAACTCATGCATCTTTACTATACAAGGAATTGTTTGTTGTTGGAAACTCTGGATATACATTTTCACTCAACTATATCAAAATCTTCTTTCTTTTTTTGTACATCAACAAATTGAAGTCTGTTGGTTGTATATGCTAACTTGCCTATATTCTGTGCTTAAAAGAGACTTTAACCTACTATTTGCAATGAAGGGGAAGCCATAGTAACCTTCTTGGTCACGAACATCATCCACACTTTCAATTACAAGGTTCTTCAGGATCCAGAAAGTTGTGATATTCCAACTGAGTCATTTCTTTGCTGGATGCTGGATCAAACTTGCATCTGAAAAAGCTGCACGACACAAATTGACATGTAAGAAAGTACAGAAGGGATCTTCGCACCTAAATCCATTAGTCAGATATCTTGAGTTTCGATAGCTAAGAAGTTTCTAGTCTACTCAAAACAGAATGATCGTTGTCAATCTGGAAAATATGATTTTCATTGTCAAAATAGATTGAATAAACCTTCAATTTTATCAGTTGTGGTGTCACTATTGATAACCATCTTTTCTATGATTTAAATAGGTTGACCAGATCACATCAGTTATTTCTTCTGTGTGAAATACTTCTATACAAGAAACATGTTTAATTAGTTCTATGAAAGATAAAACAATTAGTAAGAACGGAAATCAAATTCTCAGGTGGCAAATATTGCAAAGATGATTATGTTACAACTTACAAGAAAGACAAAAAACATTGCAAGAGTTAACTAACCTTCCGTCCCAGCCGAGAATTATAAGTGTATTATTTTCGTTGCCAAATGTAACAATGTAATGAGAAACACCAGGCAGTCGGAATTGAGCCACAGACCATTCTGAGCTAAAATACTTGGGAAGAGCTGCAAGAATTAAGCACGAATTCAAGAACCACCTCCGTACTCTCACCTTTAATAGTTCATCACTTAAATCATAGAGAAAAGTAGCAACAGTGTGTGTGCTATTAACTATGAAAAGTACCCAAGGTATATTCTTCAGGCAAAATCACAGAGGTGGAAACAGAAATTATAGACTGTAATTTGTTCAATCACATTGTCCAAAAAAAGCATTTTCCATGACAAAAAAGTACAGCTGAATCAAATAAGGTTAAATCTATTATGGCCAGTTGACAGGAAATCTCCATCAACCATGACAAGTTAATGAACCAGCCGCTTATGACTCATCACGACAAACAAGAAAGCAAGTAATACTATACAAGAATACTCCATAGTGGCAATAGAGGATGCTGTATAAAAAACAGAATTCACTAATCACATGTATTATGGAGTCAACATATAACACTGATTATAAACCACACAACATGGAACGACCCACAGTAAAACTGACTCACTCCGAGAGCTTTATGACTATGTGAAACAGTGCCTTTGTCGCTGGAGACAGCTAGACACTGAGCAGTTGGAGAGAATGACAAACTATATATTTCTGCTCTATCCAAACCCCTTCTTACCTGAATCATACGTGATTTAGCAAAAGACAAACATGTAATGCTGTTAGTTGGAAGTTCAAAGAAATCGTATAGGCAGGCTAAGAAGAAATAGAAAGCCATAAAAAAAGTTCAATCTTACAATCATTATCAATTATGTCCGGCATCATACTATGGATGAGGATGACAAAATGTAGAAATTACTCTTGTAGTTGACATTATGGGAGGAAAACTCATTCAAGATAGAAAAAGAAGTAGTAGCAAACGATGTCTATTAAACTTGTTTTGGGTTCAAGGGAGTAAACTGTAAAAGGGTGAAAAACCATACACATTTCTAGATTTCAAATATTGTATTTTATTTTTGATAATATGTAGTGTTTGACCCAGATATAGAGGGTTGATAATATCAGAATACTGCAAGCTAAATTGGTAAAACGTAATGAGGAAACGTAAAACTGCTCCAGTAAGTTGTTGGCAAAGAACTAAAAAATATAATTTGGATGATCAGCCAGTTGGCATTATGCTGAATCATCGTAAGAACAGAAATGAAGGCTGACAACAGGTAAAGGGAATTTAAAGCGACTGGAGATCTCCACTAAAGCAGCAACATAAAAAATTATAGTCCATATAACAATGTCAATATCGCCTCCATCATTAAGTATTCTTATTTTGGCCCGACAAGGGGAAAAAAATACTATGAGTAACAGAGATGCTGCGATTACTTCACGTTATGTAACAAAAGAGTATGCAAAACATGATCAAACTAAAACAATGACGACACAAATTCCTTACCTTCCTGCAACAATGTACCTTCTAGCGTGTTGAAAATCCGGATTAGTGTACCCTTGGTGCTTGCTGTTGCTAGCAGAATTCCTTCCCTCGTAAGAGCAAAACATACAAGAACTGAATAATGTGCTACAATAAATTTCATGCTTTTTGAAGCACTATGTTTGACCCAAACTTGACCCTTCTGCAGACCAGGGCATACCAATACAAGTTGATCAGCAGTTTGTGAAACCTCACAGAGCCCCTTTGGGTTCGTAGTTGATTCAATATGAAATAACAACTCCAGATTAGAAAAATTGTACACAAAGATCTTATGCTCAAGAACTACCACGAGGCAGTCCTTCCGCACATCAAGCATTGCGCTTTTACCACTACCAAAAGCTTGAGTTGAATATCATCCAGATTTAGAAGGACAGTTATAGGAGATAAGGAATCATGTCTACAAAAACTTAGAGTCATTTCATTAAACACAAAGGTGGTGACTAAAATTTTGAGTCCCAAAATATACATCAACGTTTCCCTCCTCCCTCCATAATGAAGTATGATATTGGTTGAAGAATTAAAATCAAAGATCCAAACATTATCAAAAGTAATTTTAAAGACTTCTATAAACCAGCTAAACAATTAAAGAAAACCCAACAAACCAACCAAACAATGATACTCATATTCAAGGAAGAATGGATCGGCAAGCATATCCTGGAAAACATTATACCAATAAATAATAAATAAGATAACAGTAGAACATACCATTGCTGATATACTAAGGTGGCTCTAACCAGGAAATCGGCAATGTGTAACCTAAGAAACGACCAAACAACATGGCAGATCAATCAGATTCAAGAATCAAAATCTACTTGAATGCATATGTAACTAGTTCCCAGTAAGATAAATTATTAATAGTGAAAACAGAAGAAGCTAGAATCTGAGCATCAAATGTTTCCCATTGTTTTTGAATAAGTTAAACATGCACGCAGTTAATCATCAACGAGTTTGGAGAAAGCAGCAACATAAATATCCGGATTAGAAATAAATCTTACTGACAACATATCAGACTGAAAGTATCTCGGGAAAGAAATAATTCCTTCATGAGTCTTCCATGCTATGCATTTTCTTCCACTCACTTACTCCCTCCCTTATAATTTATTTGTCTTACTTTCCTTTAGCCCGTATACGAAATAAGTTTTTTACGGGGAAGTGTTTGATCAAGCTATTGAGTGTGAATGGTGTCTGCAATTCTGTCCATCTTTCTGCCAAATTGGACCTATTTGCAATGTTAAACCACATAAACAGGCCCTTAAACAGAATAAACCAAAGCAGACAAAAAGTAGGAGTAAAAAAAAAATCAACAGATATGGATAAATAAACAAGATCAGCCAGCTGTTGGGACTGAGTTTGTAACCCATATAGTGAATGATGAGGGATGGAAACAAGTAAAGGGGAAGTCTACCAGCAAACACCTTGTTGGCACCAGTCAAGAGAGAGCCCAAGGTGATTTTAATAATTGCTTTAGTCCACTGCAGGAGACTACTTTCCAGCAGGTATTTCAAGCTGCAATGGACGTACGTGGTAGAAAGGGGGCAGAACAGCAGACACGGAGGGGACAAGACTCTTGATTCACCCTTACCGAAAACTCAATGATAGTAGCCTCCTGGAATGTAAGGGGCTTCAATAAGCAGTTCAAACACAAAGAGTAATAAAGAAGGAGAACATAGTAGTTTTAGCTATAACCGAACATCGAGTCACAAAGCAAAAGGCTCCCGGCATAGCGAAGAAAGTCTTTCCCCAATGGAGCTGTACAGGGCACTTACATGTTAAAGCAAATGAAAGTTGCTATGAAACAGTTGAATCTCTAAACTGGAGCAAAGAATACTTGAATCTAGAAGACATTTGCTAGAGATTCAAGAACAATTGAGAGAGTGCTATCATGATCAGGAGAGGAGATTTCAGAAGCTATGCTTCAGTTCTTTCAATGCGATCACCACTGTCACATTGGTGCCTAAGGTACAATCTCATTTCGACCAATCTCATGTTGTATAAATTGATCTCCAAGGTGCTAACTAAGTGATTACAAGGTCTTATTGACAGGCTGCCTTCGTGCCCGGTAGAGTTATATTACATTTATGTGTAACCTAAGAAATGACCAAACAGCAAACATAAATAACTATTCATAGTGAAAATAGAAAAAAGCTTGAATCAAACATGTTTCCCTTTCTTTATTAATAAGGCCAGTTAAGCATCAACGAGTTTGGAGAAAGCAACAAGATTCAACCTTAATACAAAATAAAGAAAACAAGACCCTTACCACTTAAATCAGTATTTTCAAGCTTAAAATCTTCTGATTCCATGGAACCAAAGGATTATGTTGTGAGATTGGAGAAAATTTATTGATAGGGAAGAGAGGTGAGACACTAAACTATAGCCAAAACCTTTAACTTTATTTTCGTAATTAGTTGGGTAATCAACACGTATATTCACACCTTTTTTAACGTCTATTTTTCACATTTACAGATTTTTTAAAAGAAATTACACAACTGTTGCTATTTTTCTTGTGAGTTGGCCTATGGATTTGGCACTTTAGAGTACCCCAAATTTTATTTTGAAAAATCTTTACGAGGAACTCCATAATGAGTTGGGGAATCACCACGTCGAAAAAGTGGTTCAACCGTTTATTTTTTCACAAGACGATGACCCTCTTCCCATTATATCGAAACCATCTCTTCAAACCTTATTTTACAAAGTCGTCTATTAAGTGCTACTCTGGACTCTTTAAGTTGTAGTCAATAATATCGGTAAGAGTTCTTATTATTGCAGTTAAAATTTTTAGGTCTAGAATTTTGTATGAGTTCTTCATTACTAATTGACTTATCGAAGTGAGAAAAAGTTTGGTGTATCATCTGTAGAATTTTGAACACCTTGGAATGCTAAATAATTATATTACTATATGAAGTGAAACTTGATTCTAATTAGACACATTAACGATACTTATTTTACTATGAAAGTTTCATTTTTAATCTGGAAGTAAAAGTAGGCAACTAAGAAGCTTATAAGTAATTAAAGAACGTTGTATCTTATCGTAAACATTCAATTTCGACCATCCACAAAGTAGATTAATAATCAAGTTTCTTTAATAGCAAACGCTTTGAGATAATTAATTTTATAAAATTCATAAAAAAAATTTCAAGTTATTTTAAAATAGTTTTGCCACTTTTTATGATTTTGAAATAATGTGTATGTTTCTTATATAATTATGTGTATAATTAATCAGTATATTTTATGAATATTAAAAATCCACTTTGAATTTTTTTTGTTAAATTAGTACTATTAGTTAGTTAGTAAATTATATTTTTAAATTAATTAGTTCATACTTTCTCTCTCTATTCCATATTAACTTAAGTTTTGAGGTAGCTTTGAGGTGTTCATTTTTCTGTTATTAATTATAAAAAAAATTAATTATAATAACTAATTTCGATTCTAATTTAAAAGGATAAAATTGAAAGAGTATTTTAAAAGAAGCTTGAAAATTTAAGTTAATTTAAAAAATGAAAAAAAAGACTCAAAACTTGAGTTAATATAGGTGGGGAAGTATTTAATTTCATTAAAAAAATCAAAAACCTTAGGAATTTTATAAATTTGATTATATACGTTAAGAGTCTTCGTTTATTTTGATATTTTTCATTTCAATTTCAAATACAAATAACGGCTCTTTTCATTTCAACACAAATACAATAGTTTGTTCTCTTCTTTCTTCACTATCATACATACTCTTCCACAGTAGCAATGAAGATGGGTTCGATTTTACTTCTTCTTCGATCAAACAAAACCACTTTTTTGTGGGTGTTGCAGCAAGAAAATGGCGAAATGATGGTGGCGAGGATAAAATTGGCAAATGAGTAGAGATATTCCTATGCTTCTTGAATCAATTTTCGTATGCCACTGCTAGATTTCAGGTACTTTTTCCCATTTTCGTCTGATTTAGGTTGGGGTTTTAGTTAATTTGATTGAATAATTTACTTTTTCCCATTTTCATCTGATTTAGGGTTGGGGGTTTAATTGATTTGATTGAATAATTTACTTTTTCCCATTTTCATTTGACTTAGGATCAGGGCTTTAGTTGATTGATCGAATAATTTATATATAACCTCGAAATTAACTTGTAGGAATGGGGGATTTGGTATATCAGACATGGGTAATAGTTCACTGTCCTGTTACTTCTTAGAATTAGCAATGAAGCATACAATATAGTTTTGGTGAAACCATTCTTCTTGTATATTGATGAATTCTAGTAATTCAATTGAGATGAAACAAACAACATCAATTCAATCACTAAAGTGATGCTTTAGTGAATACTTCCAAGACCATAAACACTCGTACATATGCCTTGTGGCCAAATTGAATTACATTTCTGTATTGTTTTTGAATAACATCTGGGAATGGAATGGATCCTAAGAATATTGGAGTAGGAAAGGTAGTATATGTAACAGGGGAATCTGGTTTCATAGCTTCATGGATGGTCAAGTTGTTGCTATTGTTCGCAATCTCATTCACTGCTCTTCCGCTCCTGTTTGTGTTTGTTTTGAATTTCTGTTGAACTAATATTTTGTGTATCACCACGAGTTTGGATCCTATACAACCTTGTTTAATTATTTCTGATCTCTAGGTTGACTACAAGATTATTTTGAAACGAGCTTAGTAATACAAGACTCATGAATGGATCGGCAAGCATATCCTGGAAAACATTATACCAATAAATAATAAATAAGATAACAGTAGAACATACCATTGCTGATATACTAAGGTGGCTCTAACCAGGAAATCGGCAATGTGTAACCTAAGAAACGACCAAACAACATGGAAGATCAATCAGATTGAAGAATCAAAATCTACTTGAATGCATATATGACTAGTTTCCAGTAAGATAAATTATTAATAGTGAAAACAGAAGAAGCTAGAATCTGAGCATCAAATGTTAAACATGTTTTTGAATAAGGCAGTCAAGAGTTAAACATGCACGCAGTTAATCATCAACGAGTTTGGAGAAAGCAGCAACATAAATATCCAGATAGAAAAAAATCTTACTGACAACATATCAGACTAAAAGTATCACGGCAAAGAAATAATTCCTTCATGAGTCTTCCATGCTATGCATTTTCTTCCACTCACTTACTCCCTCCCTTATAATTTATTTGTCTTACTTTCCTTTATGCCCGTATACGAAATAAATTTTTTACGGGGAAGTGTTTGATCAAGCTATTGAGTGTGAATGGTGTCTGCAATACTGTCATCTTGCTGCCAAATTGGACATATTTGCAATGTTAAACCACATAAACAGGCCCTTAAACAGAATAAACCAAAGCAGACAAAAAGTACGAGTAAGAAAAATCAACAAATATGGATAAATAAACAAGATCAGCCAGCTGTTGGGACTGAAGCAAGACCAGAGGTTGTAACCCATATAGTGAATGATGAGGGAAGTCTACCATTTAACACATTGTTGGCACCAGTCAAGAAAGAGCCCAAGGTGATTTTAATAATTGCTTTAGTCCACTGCAGGAGACTAATTTCCAGCAGGTATTTGAAGCTGCAATGGACGTGGTAGAATGGGGGCAGAATAGCAGACACGGAGGGGACAAGACTCCTGATTCACCCTTACCGAAAACTCAATGATAGTAGCCTCCTGGAATGTAAGGGGCTTCAATAAGCAGTTCAAACACAAAGAGCTGCCTTGAGTAATAAAGAAGGAGAACATAGTAGTTTTAGCTATAACCGAACATCGAGTCACAAAGCAAAAGGCTTCTGCATAGCGAAGAAAGTCTTTCCCCAATGGAGCTGGTATGGGAACTATGGATCAAATGAAAAAGGTCACTGGTGCACTGTTCTATTCATCAAAGAAACGGGGATATAAGTTTAATGTTCACTGCAGTCTATGGACTTCATACCATCAAGGATAGGATTGACATGTGCAACTGCTTGAAGGAATGGAACCCACCAATCAACAACCATGGTTGATAATGGGTGATTTCAACGCTGTTCTAAATCTAGACGATAGGTTGGGGAGCCAAATTCAGGATGCTGAGGTGAAGGAGGGAACTTACTGACTAATACTGGATTGTCCGTGCTTAAGACTGTTGGAAGGTTATATACCTGGACAAATTCTCATGTTCACGGCAGAATTGACAGGGCCGTTGTGAACCTTTCTTGGATGACTCTATGGCCACATCTGCAAGTTGATGCAAAAGACCCACACTTCATTGATCATGTCCTTTTGTGTCACAATTGAAGAGATAAAAGGGAAGCACGCCAGACCCTTCAGGTTTCTTAATCACCTGAGTCACCACAAAGACTTTATGGACATTGCGCTAAGTGCCTGTACAGGGCACTTACATGGTGAAGGTATGGAACAAGTTAAAGCAAATGAAAGTTGCTATGAAACAGTTAAATAACAAGGACTTCTCTAAAGTGGAGCAAAGAATACTTGAATCTAGAAGACATTTGCTGGAGATTCAAGAACAATTGAGAGATTGCTATCATGGTCAGGAGAGGAGATTTCAGAAGCTATGCTCAGTTCTTTCAAACCTCATGGATGTACAATGCGATCAACCGCACCACTGTCACATTGGTGCCTAAGGTACAATCTCATTTCGACCAATCTCATGTTGTATAAATTGATCTCCAAGGTGCTAACTAAGTGATTACAAGGTGTGATTGACAGCTTCCTTGATACAGGACAGGCTTCCTTCGTGCCCGGTAGAGTTATATTACATTTATTTGTAACCTAAGAAATGACCAAACAGCAAAGATAAATAACTATTCATAGTGAAAATAGAAAAAGCTAGAATCTGACCATCAAATGTTAAACATGTTTCCCTTTCTTTATTAATAAGGCCAGTTAAACATGCACATAGTAGTTAAGCATCAACGAGTTTGGAGAAAGCAACAAGATTCAAGCTTAATACAAAATAAAGAAAAGGAAACCCTTACCACTTAAATCAGTATTTTCAAGCTTAAAATCCTTTGATTCCATGGAACCAAAGGATTATGTTGTGAGATTGGAGAAAAGTATTGTCTGTATTGTTTTTGAATAACATCTGGGAATGGAATGGATCCTAAGAATAGGAAAGGTAGTATATGTAACAGGGGAATCTGGTTTCATAGCTTCATGGATGGTCAAGTTGTTGCTATTGTTCGCAATCTCATTCACTGCTCTTCCGCTGCTGTTTGTGTTTGTTTTGAATTCCTGTTGAACTAATATTTTGTGTATCACCATGAGTTTGGATCCTATACAACCTTGTTTAGTTATTTCTGATCTCCAGGTTGACTACAAGATCATTTTGAAACTAGCTTAGTAATACAAGACTCATGAATTGTTTCATCAATTTTAAATTATATAGTATGGAAATATCTAGAATTTAAGACATACTCGCCAAGGTGGGAAAGGGGAGGACAGAACATGTAGCTCAGGGGGACTGGGGCTTGCTGTACAAATCCCGATGCCGGACCCGAGCCTCGCACCACAAGGTGCAGTCCCTCGCGCTGAGTGCACTACATGGCGGTGTTTTTTATGTTTGTGCCTTGTACTTATTTGGATCATTTTACAAGTTTCTGATTTTGGGCTTATTGCATCGCCTCAAAAAGTAAGCAGCATCTGATTGTTAGATGGATTAGATGGTATATATATTTTTGTTTGTTTCTTTGTTAAATAGAACTTCTATATCCATTTGCTTAAATCTTTAACTGGGAGTTACTTAAATCTTTAACAGGGAGTAGAGCTTCGTAATATCCTATGTGCTTTGACCTCTATCCATTTGATTAAGGTGTTTTTTTTAGGGAGACAAGAAAACACGAGTTTGAGAAATAAAATACATCCACGAGGGAATCAACAACAATTCAGATTGTGTTACTGCTCTTGTTTTGCCAGGATGTAGGTTAATGGTTAAAATATAAAGCTTGGAAGCTATCGTCAAAATTTCAAAGAAAATGGTGTTATTGGAGAGAATTTGGAGGGGATGTCCTGTTTCTTTTAATTTGTTATCTATTGTCAATGTTTCATTATTTCATTTGAGTTTTAGTTTGCTCAAAATAGGATGATTAATCTAGAAACTATTTATGCTCATTTTTAAGTGTGTTCAATGTTACATGTATCACTTTCTCTTAAGTGATTTTATTTCTACTACTGTATAATTCATGATCATGGTTTAGTTCTATCTTGAAATACCATATTCTTGTTCTAAATCAGTCCATTTTGGTCAAGCACTTTGTTTACCCTTTGAATTTTTTTAAAAAAATTGAATGAGTATGTTAGTATTGTTCACTGCCTAAGTGATTCCATCATAGTGTCATAATTATGCTTTTCATTTGGCTTCCATCTTGTGTTTATGATTTTTCTATGTCATCTTTTTCATCTAATTTGAGTAAAAAATCTGATGTTTTGAACCGAATACATTACAAGTCACCTTTAAACTCTCACCAGGTGCTATGTATTTAAATCTCGATGGAGCTCACTCAAGCTTGTAACTTTTCTTTCACTGATTTTGCTCAATTTTGCATCTCTAGAAATTTCATCAGCCTTGAATTAGATTTGAGTAATGAGAAAGCATTTCCTGTCTAGCTAACTTATTAGCATACATTTGCATTCACAATGTGCCATATTTAGCTCTCCTTATGTGGTTAGTGTTTGGGCATTGCAGTAGTCTTTTTTTTTGGCTTCCATGGTGTTAACATGCATATATACATCTGCAGGTGTTTCATATGTTGAAATGGCTCCATAAAAGATTATAAGAACCTATGATGTCAATTTAACATTTGCAATCTCATAAGAATTCCTCTATGTTGATATTCCAAAAGATAGCTTGCGTCATCATCTAGCAACTTTGTTTATGTTCCCTCATTCTGACACAAGTTTTGCAGGTTACTGATTTTCTAAGCTTGTCTGCTTTTTTCCCCTTTTAACAGATTTATATAAACTTGAATGCTACCTTTTGCATATAACATCGTATACAAGCATTGTTAGGCCAATATTTTTTAGTCGATAATATTAACTAATAAATCTATTGAATATAAAAGAAAAAAATCGCTAATCCCTTTCCTTTGTTACATTCTTTGTTTGAGTCAAACTTCTCTCTCTCTCTCTCTCTCTCTCTCTCTCTCTCTCTCTCTCTCTCTCTCTCTCTCAATAGTTGGATTGTATTTAGTTATTTTTGTTTTGGTTAATTCTAACTTTGAATACTTAGATTAATTTAATTAAATGAAAAACTCCAGGCTCTGAATAGTTTAGTGAAATTTTATGGTATATGAATTTTGTTTTGAAGAACTTTTTTTAAGGGCGAGGCGGGGGACCACAAGGCACAGTGCCTCGAGGTCCCAGGGAGGGGGGGGGTCTTGGGACAAGGCGCCTCGAGGTCCCGAAGGGGGGGAGGTAGGTTAGGGGGTAGGGTAGGTGGGATAAGTAGGTGGTGGTAGGATAAAAGGGTGGTAGGGTAGGCAAGATAATGGGTAGGGTAGGTAGAAGAATAAAGGGGGTAGGTAAGAAGGATAAGGGGTTACGTAGGTAGGATAATAGAGGGTAGGATAGGTAAGGTAGAGGGTAGGTAGGTTAGGTAAGGTAAATGGTTTAGGTAGGTAAGTAAGGTAGGGTAGGAACAAAGCTAGGTAGAGGGATAAGGTACGGGTATGTAGAGGGGTAGGTAGGGGGATATGGTAGGTCGCGTAGTGTCTATGTAGGGTAGGTAAGGGGTAGAAATAGGAGGGGGGTTCTCGGGGCGTGCGCCCTGAGGACTCCGG